CGGTGTTGGAGATGTCGATCCACGTATGTCTTATCGTAAGACACTGACACTATTCGCTATTCTGTAGAAACAGGAAGAGCTTAAAAACACTTTTGAATTTTTTAGGTATCTCAGCCTCCATTGGGACTCCAACCCAGGACCATACATGTCAAACATCATAACCTTAACTTATTTTCTGCCACATTTGGACGTAAACAGTTCTGGTTCTAAACTCTCGATATAAGCTATAATAATTGCTTAGCATAAATATGTTCAACATTAAATTATAATAACAATGTGGTAGAGCAGCTCAGAGGATGCCAATGCAAGTTCTCAAATATACATTAGATTTATACCACAACATCATGATTGATGGCCAAATTATGAAACACAAAGGGATGGTATATCAACGCTGCAAACATTTCGTTCATCCATTGGCGTTAATTACAGCAATTTATTTTGGGTGTGTTGTTTTTTGACAGGAATAAGTGGAAATATTTTTAAACTTGCAGCAGTCAGCAGTCGTTGCCATTGACTCTAAAATTTGCAACATCTACTTGTCAACTATTAGCTATTGCTAATATTTTAATTTCAATTTAATATAATTTTTATAACCTTCATTTAGAAAGAGCAGTATAATGGAAGCTAGTGTGGTTGAAGCACATAATAAAAGCTGGTGGGAAAACAGTGAATCTTGGATAGAAAAGGTTAGTAAATATCTTAATACAGAACCTTTTTTTTCGTACGCAATACCAACGCTATATGCATTCTGTGCAATGTCATTTCTTGCAAACATGCTTGTTGTGGTGTTGATTATTACCACCAGGAGGCTCCGTAAGAAACAGAACATCTTTATGATTTTACTCGCTATTTCTGACGCTGTAAGCTCCTTGTTCACTGCACTTATGTATGTGTTTCTGTCACTAATGAAGAATGGTCAGTCTTTAATAAGGATGGTATCAAGTGCAACGCTGTTAATATCACTTTTTGCAGTTTCATGTGTTGCCATCGATCGCTACATCGCACTTGTGTGGGCACCAATGAAATATCACCTTATTGTTACTCCCAAATCTTGTACACTCGCAGTCATCATCGTAATTGCAAGCCAGACATTTGTTGGCATATTACTTAACCTATATCGCCAGTGTGAGATCTGTTTTCCAATGATTTTATTTCTGTATATTGCATTAAATGTGACTTTATATATTGTCATCTACAAAAGTATCGGAAACAACCGCAAGAGCATCTCTATACCAAGGCATACATTGGATGAGTCTAAAAGGCTGCTGAGAACATTTTGTATTATAGTGGGAGTGTTTACTTTGACATTAGGACTAGTTTGTTTCATGTACATTTTTTTAATTGTGAATGGGACAATTCCTGACCCAAAAACTGTTATTACATATTATTTATGTTATTTTTTGATGACGATTAACTCTCTTGCGAATCCAATAATTTACTGGTTTCGACTTTCTGAATTCCGAAAAGCAGTTAAAAACATATTTTGTCTCAGGATTGAAGTTAACTGAGAACTGCGTAACTAATGTAAAATACAGTGAACAATAAACAGTATGATATTGAACATTTTATAGAAAAATTAATTTTAAGTTAAATATACTGGGGTTAACTTTGTCAGTTTCAGTACAAAAGGTTTTCACAAAACAGTTTGTGAAATATAAAGCCTACTCTTAGTGCAGAATCAAAGTGTATTACTACAAATTTGTTTCGTATGAATAGCTGTCAAATGCTGCCCGCACTCATCAGGTAAGAATACATAGTGAGTAGTCAGTTCAAGAATTATATGTATGCTAATTAGATCATGGAGGAATTAGATAAGGCAAATATATGTTTGCTATAGAATACTACAATGTTATGTCATGATACCACATTATACTACTCCGTTGCTATCGGCGACACAAAATGCGTTCAACCGATGCTATTTTCTCTATTCACAAACCATTGGTCCCAATTTCTAAAATAATTACTGTATTAAGAAGTTGTATCTTAAGTTTTCTTTGTAAACGTTAATTGATGATTAAATATCTGTTCGATAACTAATAGAGCTTTTTTGTGATTTTAGTACATTTTGATGGTAAATTATTAGATTATAAAATCTATTCCAGAAAGCCTATTCTAAACCATTATGACTATGAAATCATTCAGGCGTAATGAATGGTAACCAACGTCTAGAGGGCGCCACCTCTGGACATACATACATACATACATACATACATACACACATACACCCATACATACACACATACACATATACATATACACATACATAGTCGTAAACCTATCTATGTGAGGACAAAATTTTCTTGACTTATACACAGATTTTTTACCTCTACATTCCACGCTAAAGAGGACATGTCCTCACATGTCAATATCATACACAGCTATACACAAAGTAGTTGTATAACAAAATATTTGAGGACATGTCCTCACATGTCAATATACACAGCTATACACAAAGTAGCTGTATAACTACAAATTGGAGGACATGTCCTCACATGTTAATATACACACCTATACACAAAGTAGTTGTATAACTACAAATTTGAGGACATGTCCTCACACGTTAATATACACAACTATACATAAAGTAGTTGTATAACTACAAATACTGGCCGAAAATTTCTTTCGAAAATAAATACAGTGTACTACATGCCTTGTTGTCATAATGTTTTGTTTCAATGACTTGCGCTTACCGACGATTCTTGTGAAAATCGCGGAACATTATGTGGCAAGAGATACTTTGGTGGAAACGAATACCATTTTTGATCCAATGCAGTTCGGGAAGCAACGAAAAGTTTCTACATCTCATTGTCTAAACAGTCTTATTGATTCGCTAAATTGACATGCTGAAATTTCTTCTACTGTATCTTCTGGCTTGCTTACCAATTTCTCTAAAGACGTTTCACATTCGAATGTTGCTTGGATTGCCGATTTTTTTTTGGCAACCGACATCATCAAGCCAAGGGTCACTTGTCTATCAGCTGTATTGTCAATTTTGTTGACCAAAATTGGTGCGGTTGTCTTATTTGCAATTATTGAGGATCATGTGCAACTGCGCTACATGATTGGTCTTCAGGTAGCAATATAAAAACCTAACCCCAAGAAATGTTGTATAGACATTAGTTTTTAACTAACTTTATTCCTTCATCTGTTGTTCTGAATGATCATGTTCTGAAACCATTTGACACTGTTAAAGTACTTGGAGTTATTCTTCATGCTAATCTTCAATGGAATTCACACGTTGCTTATTTTGTTTAAAAACAAAAAAACAAAAAAACAAGCAAAAAAAATACTAAATTATATATTTTAAGTGCCCTCAAACACCATGGTGTTCCTCCTGTAGACCTTATCACTGTTTACATGAGTACTGTTCGTCCTGTGTTGGAATATGCTGTTCCCGTGTGAATATCGGACCGGACTGTCACAGTAATTTGATGCCCGCATTGAGTGGGTCCAGAAGAGGTCTGTAAGATTATTGTAGGTAATAAATTCATATTCTATGTTGATGCATTATCTGAATTTCATTTGGATAAACTTTGTTATAGGCGATACAATCTCTGTTTCTTTTGCTAAAACCTTTCTTCACTCGTATTCTAAACTTCATGCCTTGCTCCCTCCCTCAAGGGTGAATTCTTATAATACTAGGTTAAATACTAAATGTAACATATCTTGTTGCAGAACCAAAAGATATCAGAACAGCCTAATACTGTACCTTACCTTGTGATGAACTTAATTAACTCAATCGATTTGTAACTTTCTTGGGGTTCAGTATTTTAATTTGACGGTTCGGTGATTCCTTGTTTTTTTACTCTTGTTGCTGTTTTCATAGTCCTTTATGCAAAAAAAAAATATTTTTGGTTCTTATTTTTACCTGTTGATTGTGCTTTATATATATATACTGCAATTTTATAAAATCTTTAATATATTATGTATAGTGTATTAGAATGCAATTAATTAAATTTTGACAATCCTCTTTTTATATAACAGTTGTACAGCATTCTCAATGTTTGTATTCCATTATTCATTATTCACTTTTTTATGTCTTCAAACAAAGTTTTACAATGACTGTTATAATCTTTGTAAAACATATGTTTACATCTGTTGACAGTTGATTGACTATCGTGATATATTTTTACAGTTAAAATGTTATTTCAGTGCCACAGAAACCATTTTGATAATTATTGTAACCCTATACAATAATTTACAACAATAGTTTAGGTAATTTAATTTGGTCTATATATAGAATGCAATGAATAATGAATACACGGCGTACACTTTAAACGTTCTCTAATTTTTGCTTCAAATGTCACAACAACCATTAAATTCCAACGACCGACGTCTGGACAGAAAACTACCAATCACTGCGTTCAGATATGACAGATATTATTACTGTATATATAAACCAATGATATTGGTTTTATATGAGAAAAACTCATATCGTATTCATGTAGATATTGTCGGTTATTCTGCAACATCAATGCCAACTCGTCAACTGAATATTGAATACTATAATATAATTTAAACAGTCTGCATATTATCAAAATGGATGCCAGTAGGCCGGAGGCGCTAAACGAGAGCTTATGTGAACAGTGTTTATATTGGGATCAGGTTCGTGAAATTTTCAATACGGAAACTTTCTTTGTTTATGCGATACCGACACTCTATGCATTTTGTGCACTGTCATTTCTTGGTAACATTTTTGTTGTAATGCTGACACTAGCTACAAAGAGGCTCCGTCAAAAGCAAAACGTCTTTATCAGTTTATTAGCTTTTGCTGATGCTGTAAGTTCTATGCATACCTTACTGATGTATGTATTTTTTGTTACTGAAAATAAATTATCTAACGGTAGTAATTTTAACTGGTCAAGCAGCACTTTTGATAACAGTTTGTTCAGTGGCCTGCGTTGCATGCTATTGATCGCTACATTGCACTTGTGTGGGCACCAATGAAATATCACCTTATTGTCACTCCAAAATCATGTGCACTCTCCGTCATCATCGTAATTGTAAGCCAGACCGCTTTTTCCATAATTATATATCTATTTGGTTGGTATGAGATTTGTTCTTCAGTGGTTGATTTACTGTATATCATACTGAATACGTCTTTGTATACAGCAATCTACAGAAATATTGGAAACCACCGAAAAATCGCATTCATATCGAAACATACATTTGAAGAGTCCAGGAAATTATTAAGAACATTTTGTATTATAGTGGGAGTGTTTATAATCACGTGGGGACAAATTTGTATAATAATGATTTTTATAATATTTAAGGGAACATATTACAATGCAAGTAAATCAGCTCTGATTACACTGTATTATATTCACTTCTTGATGACAATTAACTCTCTTGCAAATCCAGTCATTTACTGGTTTCGTCTAAGTGAGTTTAGGAAATCAGTTAAAGACATGCTGTGTCTCAACATTAGAGGTTAGTTATTGATTATTAATTTTGTCCTCAGCTGCATCATTATTATCCATTATCCTTCTCTTTATCTTAATTATAACCATAGTTAAGACCAAACGAAACATCTATATTTTCACTCACCCATTGCGTATACAGTAACGAAGTTCATCATTTTAACACTTTCGCTCTATATTTCTTCATCTTATTTCATTCATTGGTCTCCAAACATAAACAAACAAACACGAATATAATAAAATATAATAACAGATTAAACCATGAGACAGGAAAACCGCAAAACCGAACTAAACCACTGTTGGGTGAGGGCCCTTTTACAAAACAGACAAATGTACCGTACCTTATATAACAATGTAATATGGAAATGTTTAACAAATAGTAACATTAACGATCAGTAACATTAACGATCTGAGCAATCTAATCTTCCTGATTGTTTATACCGTGACATAGGTCTATTGTTCAGATTATAGGGACTTCAAGCTTAAGCCTTCAAGCCTAATTTGTGTGGCCTTCAATTGATCAGTTGGACATTTCACCCCACCCATGTTTTTTTCTATTGGTATACCAAAGCTATATATGATCATACATTTGGCTTAATATCTTAAAGACAATAAATTGTGAGAGGTCTTTGCCCATTTCTTATATCGGTAGCAGCATTAACATAGGCCTATTCAACATGTTAATAATAATAGCTTATCATCTGATTACTACTATATATTGTCTGTCACTAATTTATGTTCATTATTATTTCCACACTCAAAGGCAAGTAAATTAAATCAAATAAAAAAATCTTTTCAATTTATAATACTACAAGAATTTTAATTCATGATGTTCTGTCTTCACAAAAAATGTAAAAAACATATACACATACACACATAAAACAGTACATACTGTACTCAGAAAACATACATAGGCCCTACATATGTACGTACATATGCATACAATAGAACGCTAATCATTACTACTTCACACGTGTGCCTTTTATGATGGTTACCTGCAACGAATTGTCGTTGTTTACGATCTGCCAAGCAATCAATCCATTCATCATTCAGTACACATATTTTGGCAGAAATGCCGAGAGTAAAATTTCTGCATAGGCCTATTATACAACTATGGCTGGCAACGGGCCGGGTGGCAAAAGGCCGGGTGGCAACGGGCCTACGGTGGAACGGAAGGTGTGACAACGTTCCGGGTGGCAAAGGGCTATGGTGGCAACGGGCCAGGTGGCAAAAGGCCGGGTGGCAACGGGCCTAGGGTGGCAAAAGGCCGGGTGGCAACGGGCCTAAGGTGGCAAAAGGCCTGGTGGCAACGGGCAGGGTGGCAAAAGGCCGGGTGGCAACTGGCTTACGGTGGCAACGGACCGGGTGGCAACGTTCCGGGTGGCAAAGGGCTATGGTGGCAACGGGCCAGGTGGCAAAAGGCCGGGTGGCAATGGGCCTAGGTGGCAAAAGGCCGGGCGGCAAAGAGCCGGGTGGCAAGGGCCTTGGGTGGCAAAAGGCCGGGTGGCTAAAGGCCGGGTGGAACAGGCCAGGTGGCAACCTGGCGTGCTCAAGTAATGGGGTATCTATCCAAGATATCAATCCTGTCATTACCAGAACACATTG